TTCACGGTGTGTGTATACATATACATACATACACATTATACATGTATATGTTATATGTGTATGTATATATGTATATGTATATCACATTTTTCTTACCCAATCATCCATTAACTGATACTTGGGTTGATTCCATATCTTTGCTATTATGAATAGTGTCATGATAAACATACAAGTGCAGGTATCTTTTTGATATGATTATTTCTTTTCCTTTGGGGAGATACCCAGTAATGGAATTCTAGATCAAATGGTTGTTCTATTTTTAGTTGAGAAATCTCTTATAATTTTCCAGCTCCATCTATCTGAATCTGTCAATCATTCTTTGGATAATTTGAAGTCAAGTACGTGGATATGAGCTACACAACCACACCCACAATTAAACATATACCCAGCTTGGTCCCAGGTAAAGCTCAGCTCAGACGCCTAGGAAACTCAAGTGTGAATGGGTCCCACATCCTGACCACACTATGCAAGTTTTTACACTGAGACTCCAGTACTCAAGTATTGCTAATGCTAATTTGACCCCCATATTGACACGTTTACGAACTCAGTTATTCAGGAAAACTATCTCCCACTGACCTGACCATGAAAGAGCATTATGAAGCACCAGTGTTCCCCACTTCAGAACGGCTGTGCAGGCCCCTCACATCTAGCTTCTTCCCGCTGAAAACCCAAAGAGTGTTATTTTCCACCAAAGTCTAAACATACTTAATTTTGAAAAAATATCAATACTGCATATACGTCTTTTGGGTTCTGCCTTCTCTTTATCACTCAAAAATATCTAGTTATAAAAGAGAATATCATTATTATATGATAAATCTTATTGTATGATAATCTGTCTTTAAAATCTTAACTTGGAACCTCTTGCTTCTGATTCCTTTATCTTTGTCTTTAACAAAAAGTTTGTGTTTTTATAGCATCAGCAAACAGAGAGGAAACAAGATTGAAATAGATCATGCTTCCACTGCAAATATGGATAACATAGAACAAGCTAAAAAAAAAGGTAAGACATACAAATAACTGTAATGAAATAAGGAAATGAAGATGAGACCAAAGGATTGGCAGGAAGTGGGCCTACCTTTTTTAATTAGGGCAGGGTATTTAGAGAGAAGAGAGAAAAGAAAAATATATAATAAGCTTTCTGTTTCTGTATCTTAGGCCCAGCTAACAAAGTACAGTTTTATTCCAATCAGTTGACACTCTCACATCAGGGCTACACTTATTCTAACAATAGCAATCTAAACAATAGCAATCCTAAGACTATTTAATGTCTTGAAAGTTAGATTGGCCATAATATTGGGTAGATTGCAACAGTATCATGGACCCTAATAACAGATAAAACAAATATCCAAGAAAGGAAAAACTATTCATTTTTTCTACTAATACATAAAATGAGTTACTAGATTTACTCCCTGATTTTTCCTTTAAAGTAAATAAATAAAGCTAGTTATGATCAAAATCAAAAAAACAAGGAGGCATATTTGATATAAGAAACAACATTAAAACAATTTTCAAGAAGCTTATTCCTCTGGGAAAAGAAATAGAAGAAATAGGAGCTTCAAGATCATAGTCTTTGAAACTTGCACTTTTTTATATAAGGAAATGGCTCTGACTGATCATTACATGCAAAAGAAATGAGTGCCAGGCTTAGAAGCTGTACATTAGAGTCATTCTAGAAACCACTAACAGTTTTTGCTGGTTTTGCTACTTTGATTTTGGCCTCAGACATAACAGACAATTATTCAAAGCTAAGTAAGGCCATGAGTCCCTAAACAGCCTCATAATAATGAAACAACTGCCCAGTTACTAACCAAATAGTGAAGGAGACTGAGCTATTGGGGGCTCCTCACCCCCAAAATAACTCTGGAGAAATGTTAAAGGAGTGGAAGAAACAATGTGAGAAACTAACTGAAAACTGTCAATATGTCATTTTCAATAAATGATCTCTTTATCACTGGACAAGTAAAAATGTGATTAAAATGCAAATGGAGGAATCAGATAAATCTAGGTTAAAATTCAGTCCTGCCTGTGTCCCTGAGAATTTTGTTTCATCTTTTTAAGTCAGTTTTCTAAACTGTAACATGGATAGAAAGTTGTGAGAATTAAACAGAAATATTTCTAAAAAATAATTATCAATAAATATCTATCCTTTTATATATATCTCAAATTTATCCAGTGGCTGACAATATCTCACTGATTACAAAGTGGTAAACTGAGTAGTTGAAACATGAAGTCTGTGAAAAGTGGTTTCTTAGAATTTTCTTTAAAGTGTCTGTAGATGCAGACTTCCCCAATCAAAATTTCAGAAATGCATTTTTGTGGAAATTGGCCCATCAATTCTAAAATGTATATAAAAATGCAAAGTACTAGAAAAGCCAAAACAATTTAGAAAAAGAAAAATAATTGATGAACTTACCGGATTCTAAGACATAAATGTAAAACTACAGTAATCGAGTCAATATTGTATTTGAATATAAAGACAGACACAAATCTATGAACCAAAATAAACTATGCATAAATGGCCAATTGTTTTTGACAACACAGTTCAATGGTACTAGAACAACTGGATAAACAAATGAAGAGAAATATGCATTTCTACTGCTATCTCAACACAAATTATGAAATAATAACATATTAACAATTTGAGATAGATTATAGATATAAATGTAAAAGTTAAAATTACAAAGGTTTCAGAACTATGGCAATCAATACAAGAGTCAATAACCACATATTGCCATATAAAATTAAATTTGATTCAAGTTAAATGAAATTTAAAACTTGGATTCTCAATCACATGACATGTATTGCAAATGCTCAATAACCACCATAGCTAATGGCTACAGTACTGAATAGGCCAAATGGAAAATTCTATTGAAAGGTGCTATTTGAAAAGAAAAAACTGAGAATGATTTTGCAAGCTTACGCTAGGCAAAGATTTCTTAAGTAGGACACAAATAACCAACAATAAAATGTAAAATTGATAAACTGGAATTTCTCAAAATGAAAACGTCTGTCGTCAAACGACAGTCATGAGAATGAATAGACAATACATAGACTAGCAGAAAACATTCACAACACGTACATCTATAAAAGGAATGTTTATGCTCAATAAAGACCTCCTTCAATTCTATAAAAGAGGGCAAACAAGCCAATACAAAATTGAGAGAAGACCTCAGAAAACAACTCATAAAGGAAGTTATTAAAATGGCAAATAAGTATACAAAAAGTGCTCAACATTATCAGTAATCAGAAAAATGCAAATTAAAATTGCAAAAAAATCATTAAATCCTCACTATTATAGCTACATTTAAAATGAATGACACATCTGATATTGACAAGGTTATAGAACATTCAGAACTCTCAAAAAGTGCTGTTGTGAGTGTAAAATGGTGTGACACTTTGGAAAACTGCTTGTCACCATCTTATAAAATTTAACATAGGTGTATGTTTACATACACTATGAAAGTGCTATAACCTGGCAATTTCACTCAAGCAGTGTCCTTACCCAGTGAAAGCACATTTCCACACAAATACTGGTACAGAAATCCTCCCTATCAACTTAAGCCCAAAACTAAAAACAATGCAAATAACCTGCAATAGAAGAATAAATAATTACATTTTGGTATATTTGTGCAGTAAAATACTACTCAGCAATAAAATGAGAGAAACTCCCCAAACACAGAACAACGTAAATGAATCTCAGAATTGTATGCTGAGACAAAGCAGTCACGCCCAAATAATAAACAATGTATTATTTTATTTGTAAGTTCTAGAATAGGCAAAACCAATCTATGATGATAAAAATAAGAGTATTGGTTGCCTCTGGGAAAAGGCCATTGACTGGAAAGAATCAGGGGTGTTTTTCTGGAATGATGGAAGTGTTCCCTATCTTGCTTGAAGTGATGCATTCATGGGCAGATGCGTTTATAAATCATTGAACTGCATATCTAATATGTACATTTTACTGTATATGCAAATTATTTCTCAATTTAAAAAATATTCTGGAGGAGTAAATAAAAGAATTTGTGTGTATAAAGGTGTATTCTAAATATGCCTTTCTTCCTAATACCTACAGTGACTGAAGCTCTAGATATGTGTGCTTTCTGCCTTCTCATAGTCAAGTCCCCTTGTAAGGCATTCATTATGAATGCCCCATTATCAAGTTCCACAGCAGAAATTGAGATGTTGCATCCTGTGATTTCCAAAACCTCAGCTAGCAGAGCTCTAGCCCACTACTAATGCCTCTCCATTTGATTTATTGAATGCAGCTCATCACAAAGAGTCTGACAAACTCAACATGTCATACACAACTAGAGCTTTTCTCATTCCAGCAGCAGCCTCTCAACGATTAGTTGCCTCAGAGATCAAAAATCTACTTTCTCATTCTAGGCTCGTAAAGCTGAACTCAGACCTCAGCGCACATCTTAAAGCCTGTTGTCAAGCTATATTTCTTCTTTTCTTTTCTATAAACCTAATAATAAATAAATAATAATGATTGAACATCTACTTTGCATTTGTTTTATTTATTACTGCATGTTTAGGAATATCTTTTGGTTTCCAAGTGACCTGGTTATGCTCAAGCATGTATTGACATCAAGTAGGTTGCCATGGGAACTGAAGGCAACTGCACATTGAGATTTACAGGAGCAAAGGATGGCTGGTTGATAGTGTCCTAGTCGCCCCCGGGCATATCAAAATTAAATAAAGCACTAAGACATGAAGTGAGGGGTGGTTATTATACAGTGAACAGGAACTGAAAGAATAAAGTATTTTTCTCTAGAGATGTGGTTGTCAGAATCTGCATTATAATATTAGTTTGTTTGCTATAAAATATCAGATTTGGATTCTCTGTGTTTACCCACTAAATCAGAAAACTTAATCGTTTTATAAATATGCTTTATAAACATTAGTTACTCCCCTCCAAATGGATTCACACCACATTGAGAGTCCATGGTTAATTGCAACTATTGGCTTAGAATTAAAAGAACTTGTTCTTCCTTTTCCCGTCCTCGAGGATGCCGTGCCAAGCTGGTATTAGCCTCCAGTCCTGGTTGTGGAAGGTGACAGTAGTCATGGTGATGTTTGAGCAGATGAGAGCCAACGTGGGCAAGTAGCTCAAGGGTATTGACAGGTACAATCCTGAGAACCTGGCCACCCTGGAGTGCTATACAGAGACACAGACCAAGGAAAATGCCTATGATCTGGAAGCCAACCTGGCTGTTCTGAAACTGTACCAATTCGACCCAGCCTTCTTTCAGACAGTCACCACCCAGATCCTGCTGAAGGCCCTCACCAATCTGCCACACACCGACTTCACCCTGTGCAAGTGCATGATTGACCAGGCACATCAAGAAGAACGGCCAATCTGGCAGATTTTGCACCTCGGGGACCTGCTGGAGACCTGCCACTTCCAGACTTTCTGGCAAGCCCTGGATAGAAACATGGACCTCTTGGAAGGTATAACTGGCTTTGAAGACTCTGTCCGAAAGTTCATCTGCCATGTCGTGGGTATCACTTACCAGCACATCGACCACTGGCTGCTGGCCAAGATGCTCGGGGGTCTGTGGGACAGCCAACTAAAGGTGTGGATGAGCAAATATGGCTGGAGCACCGACGAGTCGGGGCAGATCTTCATCTGCAGCCAGGAAGAGAGCATTAAACCCAAAAACATCATGGAGAAGATTGACTTCAACAGTGTGTCCAGCATCATGGCCTCCTCCCAGTAAATGCAGGTGTTTAATAAAGATGTGTTGACTCAAAAAAAAAAAAAAAGAATTAAGAGAACTTTTAAAATTAACCTGCAAATTAGGGTTCAGTGACCTCCTTGATTCCAGGAAAGGGCCCAAGAATCTGTATCATTAAGAGCCCCAGCACAGAAACTACTGATCTTGTCACTCATCCTGACCAACACAAACACATACTTGCCAAATCATAAAAAGTGGTTTTCCGATCTCTTTTTAAACACATGCAGCGGCATGAAGCTCACAACCTCAAAAGAAAAATAGTTGTAAAATGTGATTTCTATAAGATACCTAAATCGTAGGAGGTTCCATCTTCATTTGGTATCTTTACTGCAGATCAGCAAAACTCAGAGGAAGGTGAAATTTATCTTTTTTACCTTCCTACACACTTACTAGCATGGGCATTTCATGTTTGCATAAAGCATCCCCATTACCAAAATCAAAATTGATTATAATAGTATAGCTCCTTATACTTTATCAAATGTTTTCTGATTCATAAAATACTTCCTGACACAAAAAATCTGGCCCAAATTTAGACAAACTACTGTTAAGTTTCAAAACGTTCCATTAGAATATTTGATTCTTTGAAAAGTTCAATACCTTCTATAAGCAAATTCATAATTACATAGTATCCTAGAAAGAATACAAGGTTTAGACTCCAAAGCGCTCATCTTGAGTCTTAAGTTCACAGTGTACCAATTGTGCAATGTTGGACAAGATATTTAACTTCTCTAAATCTGGATTTTTTTTCTTTGAAAGGTGGTGATGATAATCATACCCAGCTCATGGGTTTGGAGACTATCGTTTAAACAATAACGTATGCAAAAACATTTTTAAATCATGAAATAATAGGCAATTAGGTTTATATTTTGAAGCTGAAAATTATCTCTTGTTTCCATTATTTCTTCACAAACAATGAACACTAATCCTAGAAAATGTAAAATGGTAATACCAATTATAGAAATAAAGACTGACATTTGGTGATAAAGGAAGGTCACACCGTTAACATAGCTCAATAATGATGACTACCATTTATTGCGTGCCAATCAAATGCCAAGAAATCTGCATTGTACTATTTGATCCTACAAAAAAACTCTATGAGATAAATCTCAGCTCCATTTAAGAGATAGTAAAGCTGATGTTGTGAGCATATTCTTTTTATCCACCAGCAACGCGTCCTGGAGCAAACCACACTTCCCTGTTCCATGGCATCCAAGGGAACTTTCTATCACAGCTTCCTCACTCTCCCAGCTGTAGGTGTGGACATATGCAAAGTTTAGTCATTAAGACATCTTTTTATGTAACTCTATACAAACTTTGGGGGGATAGCTCCCATTCTGAATTGCTCAGAGGAGAGGATTTGCGTTTAAAACTGCTGTTGGTCATCTTGCCTAGTGTATGCCACAAACCTCTATGCAGAATAAAGTCAAACAGAGATCAGCAGCAAAAACAAAACCCCAGTAACATCATTTGAACCTGATCTAACCAAGCCTAAGCTTGGATGTACAACTCCTCCCAACCCAAGTTTTAAGAGCGATGAATTCCCTTTCCATTAAGCCTATTTAAATTGCTGTGAAAGCATCCTGGAAGGAAATAGAATTAGCCCAGATATTCAGAGAAAAACTTAAATGAGAGCAATATTTACAGAGATATGCGTTCCCAAATGCTATGAATGGTGGGAAGCGCTAACCATTCCTCTGGTTAAAGGAATAAGGAGAGGAAATACTCTAGCTCAGTGAGACTGCAACAGAGGAGAGCTGGACTCATGGGAATGGGCTCCTGGGGGATGCTGTCTAGGCAGACATGAACACTGAAGCAGGGAAGGAGCATGGATGGGATGCAAGACCATATACATCGTCTCCTATCCTGCCCTGATCTCCTGCAGGTGCCAAATTCCACCAACATCAAACTGGCAAAGGGGCCCAACTAAGTACTCTACAGGATCAGCATCACAGGACAGAGAAGGTCAGGGACTACCTGGGGAGCAGGAACAGGCAGAGAAAACAACAGCACTATTTGGTTTCTTTGAAATCAAAGCAACCCACCTATTTCCTTGGAAACATGCCTAAGAGAAATAGCTAGTAAGTGCTGAGGCAGGATTCAATCCAAGTCTGTTTCATACTGAAATCAATGCTCTTGCCACTGTTTCAAGTATTTGATGCTGATCTGTCTCTATATTAGATTGGTTTCCACTCTGCAAGATCTCAGTGACAGAGTGCTCATGTCTTAACCTCTGTAAAATTTATGGAGTTGTAGATCTCTCCTCTCCTTTCCTGGCTTTTGTGATGTTGTACCATTTTGGCTTCATCTCTGAGATGACACCATGCTGCTAATGTCATCGTGAGTCAGTTTGCTGACTCACAATGATGTTAGATATCAACTAGTTACTCTTCCCTTCACCACATCAAGGAAGCAGTGCTTGTATCATTCAATTCCACATCCATTTGACAGCAAAATGAAGGATGACTAAGTCCCCCAGGTAGTCTGGCATCATTTGTGAACAGAAGAGGAGTGTATATGAACCATGGGCAGAAGAAACCTTGAAAGAGCACACTGAATGTCTGAACAAAATGGAAAATGTAACTATAGGTTCAAACTAAAAGCTGTATCTGTGGAGATATATTTGAGCTTAAGATTGTTAATATAGAGCTTTAAAATAAGGGATACTTAATTTTGAACAGAGACATTCTAATGTAGACTTACAGGCAGTACTAAGCTCTGTGTCTTCAGAGAAATTAAATACGGTCACATTGATTCATTCATTTAATTCATACAACAAATATCTATTGAGCGTCCATTATGTGTGAGATACCATTCCAAATCTTAGCCATCAAGGAGTTCACATTCCAGTGGGAAAATCCGAACATAAATTAGATACTATGTTAGATTCTGATACATGCTAAGGAAAAAATAAAACAGGGCAAGAGTTGAGAAAACCATTGCAATGTTAGAAACAGTGACAAAGAAAGGATTCACAAAGATGGTGACGTTTGAGTAAAATGTAGGTGAGAGAGTGAATCATATAAATATCATCCCGAAGAAAACATTTCAAGCAGAGGAACAGCAAGGGCAAACATTCAGCAGTAGGCTAAGACCCTTCAGGAAAAATATAGAAATGTCTCATGACTAAAAGTACATTCCCAACTAGTAAATAACCTCAAGCAAACACTCACACACATATTCTATATAATTTATTCTTGGACTAAGCAATATAAATACAATCACATACACACACAAATAGTCCTACACACAAATACTCATCTTGCAAAACATATTTGAGTTTCATCCAGTATGTAATGAAGAGCTCTATACATACCCAATAGCAAAATTCTGAGTAAAGTGAGGACAAAGAATTATGTAAGACATGTGCTGATGGCCTCATTATTATGGCACTGTGCAATTCAAAGCAGTACCAAGATGCATCTTCTGAGGCTTTGTAAGTCTTTATTCAAATTTTATACTACAGACATTCCTGTGGGAATTTCATTTCCAGAAACATAGACTAGATATACAGAATAACAATAGTACAGAACACCAAAATAATGCTGGGTAATCTGTATTTAATCAATATTTAAGGTACAGTTGAGCTGGCAGAGGAGAAAAACAATTTGAGTCCAGAAATAAGAAAACAGCTCTAAAGAGATAAGCTGTTCCTGGAAACAGCATTTTCTCTAACAACATCTGATCATTCTTGGATGTCTAAAGCCTAAATTTAACAGTAACATGAGGACAGCAGATAGGAGAAATAGTTTAAGGGCAGGTGTGAGACCCCACGTAAAGTTAAGATCGCTAAAGTTAAGAGTGTTGCACTTGGGCCTGGCACGGTAGATCACGCTGTAATCCCAGCACTTTGGGGGGCCAAGGTGGGCGGACCACGAAGTCAAGAGACAGAGGCCATCCTGGCCAACATGGCGAAACCCCGTCTCTATTAAAAATACAAAAAAAAAAAAAAAAAAAATAGCTGGGCGTGGTGGCGCGTGCCTGTAATCCCAGCTTCTCGGGAGGCTGAGGCAGGAGAATTGCTCGAACCCGGGAGGCGGAGGTTGCAGTGAGCCAGATCGTGCCACTTTACTCTAGCCTGGGCGAGACAGGGAGACTCTAGCTTTAAAAAAAAAAAAAAAAAAAAAAAAGATTGCTGGCCGGGCACGGTGGCTCAAGCCTGTAATCCCAGCACTTTGGGAGGCCGAGGCGGGTGGATCACGAGGTCAAGATATCGAGACCATCCTGGTCAACATGGTGAAACCCTGTCTCTACTAAAAATACAAAAAATTAGCTGGGCATGGTGGCGCGTGCCTGTAATCCCAGCTACTCAGGAGGCTGAGGCAGGAGAATTGCCTGAACCCAGGAGGCGGAGGTTGCGGTGAGCCAAGATCGCGCCATTGCACTCCAGCCTGGGTAATAAGAGCGAAACTCCGTCTCAAAAAAAAAAAAAAAAAAAAAAAACAGATTGCTAAAGGATGACATGCCAGGGGACGAACCAAAAATAACCTGCTCCACAGAGATTTGTCCGGGTTAGTCTTGATTATAGATCTAATGATAAAGAAATACTTTCGTGATTTGTTTACACACAACTGATTCTTATTACCATGGAATGTTGCAAGTGAAACACGGTGAAGAAGTCCATCAACACAGCTTATGGGGCAAACCCCACTCCCATTCACCAAGATTACCAGAGGGATCTTCAGCTCCAGGTTGAACAGAGCCACTGCTTTATACACAGTTGTCTACAACCATGCTGAGTGAAACCTTCCATGACTAAATGGATGAGGAAGCCACTTACACCCCCTTTTAATAATTCACAATATATAACCTATTAATACTAAACTATGAAGATAGCATAAAGTCTGTTATAGGCCTTCCTCTTATACCTACTCTCCGCAAATTGCAATAGTGTAAGCCTTTTATACCATTTCTGCACCTTGGCCTTTTAAGTGGTAAATTTTGATAACTCCAAGACTGTATTTAACTTCTGAGGACTACATTAAGATTGTCATTAGCAAGACACTATTTAATAAATATTGCTGTGCTAATTGTG